CTAACCATAATTATCTTTGCAAATTAGGAAAATGAGCTTAAGTATCCCTTGGTGTGATGGAGCCAAGATTCATGGGCCTTTGGGTCCATGAAATTGCTCCATATCAAACTTACCAATACTTAGGATTAAATTAGCACAATGAAAAATTTGCAAATTAATATACTCGCTAATCTAAGCAAGAAATAAATAACATATGGCTTGAATCATGATTTAGTAGGGAAACATATATTTTAAAGCTTTTAAGGGGTAAATCACTTTTGGCATGATTTGGCTCATTGAAGGCATTGAAATGAGTTTCCAAACTTCGGAATATTTGCATAACAAGTGTAATATGCCATAGACTTTTCTATCACAAACTATACAACACATCCAAAGGCGAGCTTGATCAAACACACTTGCTCTAGGATTTTTGAAGTGAATCTTTGGGATTCACATTAGATCCTAAAACAAGTCATCACAAATATTTTGGATATATTGTAAGGCTTATGACACACTTCACAAGCTCAACCAAATTCCTAAATCATATGTCCATTTTCGTCATGACGCTAGCGTTGTATAGGTACATGTACACAATGTGAGATTTGGGCAAAGATGTGAGCTACACACTATTTTTGGCTAAGAAAGTAACATTCCCTAAGGTTTGAGTGTAGGTGAAGGTGTTAAGCTCAATATGATGCACAACATACATTTGAGAGGTGTTGGATAACAACCCGACACTTCTATATGAATCTCTTCTAAATCCAATTATACTTCCACTTTATCTTGATTTGGCTCTGATACCAATTTTTGTCACACCCTAGTTTGGCCTACCCCCCCAAAGGGTCAATTTAAAGTATAATAGAGAAGGAAAATCTAAACCGGTTTCTTCTTATTAACACCTATTCCGAGCCACTACTTTTATAATGGAATGAGTAAAAAAAAAATTATTTAGACTCTCCTAACTTGCCAACTTATCAAATTTCATACTTAATAATGGAAAGCATGTAATATTCCTTAATAAACATCAAATATAATTGAAGTAAATATAGAGCTCTACTAAAATTTTTAAAATTAACTTACATACTCGAAAGTCTATACAACTATCATTCAGATCTCCTTTATGATCTCTTTGTACACCAAAACATATTTACACCGAAAGGAATGATCACCTCCCTCACTTTTATTGCCCTACGAGCTCATTTCCCTTATTTGTAGTACAACTATTGCTGATGAGCTAAGCTCAATGAAATACATAATCAATGTATAAAAATTAATAATAATATTGTTAATAATTAAAAAATTCTTAACAATACTATTGTAGTTAAAAATACATATTGAAATGCCCTATTGAGTATAAGAAGTGTCTAGCCGTATTATTCATCTTGTCAAAACTGTTTAACACTTTTAAACAAGTCATATGATGACTATAAGCTTCTGTACCTTTTTAGGATTCCAATTCATGGTTGGGTCCAACTTCCCAACTTTTAGAATGAAAATTGTTCTCTCATTCAGGGTTGAGTGAAATTTTTCAACTTCTATAATTGACAGTGTAGGTTTATCTCGTTGGGTCTTTCGCCTTTATTTATGCGGGTCTATCCCCTATATATAACATATTTCACTTTCCCTATAGTCATCCTTTTTACCCCTAATGACATGTTTTGATGACATAATTGCGCTTTAACTGCCCTTTAGCTGCGCTTTAACTGTCATTTAGTTGAGCTTTAGCTGCCCTTTTGCTGCCATTTAGCAGCGCTTTTATGCCCTTTAGCTGTCATTTAGCTGCCCTTTTGCCGCCCTTTAGTCATTCATTAGTTTATAAATATTTATCATTTTATGTTTACGAAATCTTTAACATTGTTAAGGATTACTCTCTGCATAAACAATTTTATACATGTTCGTCCATGTTCATACCAAACAAGATAAGATAAATTGAAATAAATGCGGTTATAAACATAATAAAGATGAAGAGCAATAATATAATATTTACTAATTCTTATAATCTCATTTGGGTATCTCACTTCGTTTTCCAGAACTGTGGAGTAAATTGGTTCACCTAAAATATTTCGATTCTTTCTTCTTTTGTATACCACTTCAATTACAATCTTCTTCATTCAATCCAACTTCTTTCTTTTGCTTTCTTTGGTACTTATAAGTGAGAGAAAAAAAGGAAAATTGCGCCATTCAACTATTTTATAGTTATTACAGCAAACTACAGCCTCTCACACGTGAATGGGGAGGGGAGAAATGAACTAAATGGCTGAGGTTTCATGCTTCAGGAATTGCCTTAATACAATATTATACACTAAGGCTCTTCTAACAGCATTCTATCATTTCCCAGCCAACATGATTTCTCACCTTCTTAATCAGTCCAATGCATGTAAAGTTAAGTGTTGTGGATTAAGTCCAATGCATGCAAAGTTAAATGTTGTGGGTACAGTAAAAATAAAATAATGAAATAGAAATGCTGAAATAAAATTATGACATTTCTTTAAAATCTAATTAACATGATTTCTTATTTATTATTATAATTATTTTTTCCCAATTATCTGTAATTGAGATAATAATCAGTTATTCATATAATAGATGAAATATCAAAAACTAAAAGTGTATGCTTACATTTATTTTAAGCATTTCGAGGATTACAGGAGTGTTGACCTCTAAGCATTAACCAGCACAAGAAAAATGAAAATCCCGTGTACATACCTATACCCCGTCGGATCCACATATCCCGTAGAGAAGCTTCGCAAAACTCGCAAGAAATCCTGCATACCTCGTATACAGTTCGGTTTCTCCGGGGAATCCTGCACGAAATCGCGCTTTGAATTCCTGTAGCTCGGCGCCG